CAGAACAAACTAATGCATGTAATGCTGACCACAGCAGCGGAGAATGAATAATGCCTGTCTCTTATACACATCTAGATGTGTATAAGAGACAGGAGAGAGAGAGAGACCTTTTGAGTAGATAGTATAGTTAGAGTGAGAAACATAGCTGTCTGGTGTGGGGCGGCAATAGCTGCCCTGATGTGCATACATACGACTTGCTGTACAAGACTTTGATTTTTCCCAATAATTTCCATAGCGTTCTCATTTCTCGTGTTGCACTTGTGTCTTATGTCCAAGTGTGACCTCATGGGCTCATTGCAGTACATGAGCATTCATTTTCTACTTTTTCTTTTTTTATCCAATGAGGTGATGTTGCCTTCCTGTTCCCTTCTTGGGGTGCCCTTCACCACAATAGCCAGGTGCATGAACAGCTTTAAAACGTTCCCACCTTAGGCATCTTAGGAGTAGAGTGGTTACACAAATCAGGGGCATTCCCTGCTATCTTCTCAACTGATAAATTCTACGGATCCCCTCGGATTCGTATTAGCAGATTCCCACTACAAATTCTTTGGATGGATCTGGAAGCACTTCCGGTCAGGTACTTCCCGTAAAGCCCCGTTACACACGTGCCCTAACAGTTTTGTCCACAAAAATGCCCCCCAAGGAGGTGCCTTTTGAGGCACATTTGTCAAGGCCAGTCAGGTTAAGCAGGGAGTACAGGTGTACAAACCTTTCTGCGGTCGGCAACATGCTTCATATCTGTGGCTTGCTTCATTCTGGCTTTGAAATCGGCAGGAACGTTACTCGGCATGCAATGAGGCCCTGGCCCTAAAATCGCACCAGAATTGGCAGGCGGTTTTCTCCCTGGTTCTCGATCAGGCACCAAGCTGGAAGCCACACTTCCTGCTTGGTCTCTATCCTTTGCCACAGTCGAACTAGAGTCCTTGACTGTCAGTAGCCCAGGCCCATCTCCCACGTGCTGTGGAGTGTCACTGGGTGAGGATACCCGGCCTGCTTGCTGTCCAGAGGCCGGCTGCTGCTGGGGGTAATTATTGGACTGCTGTTGCTGCTGAGGATGACGATGCTGCTGCTGCTGCTGTTGGCCTTGTGGAAATGAGGTGAATTGTTGCTGCTGGCTCTGAAGTGGCAGAACAGACTGCTGACGATGCAGACCCTTGCCCATCTCCATTCGGTATCGTGGATGAGGCTGGGTACCATATGACCCATATGGAGGATGATGAGTCAGAGACTGATAATGAGGCAACAACGCTGGCAGAGCATGTGAATCAACTCCTCCTGACCCTGTTGGCACACCCAAAGGACTGCTGCGCACAGTTTCATCACCATTGCATCTGAACAAGGAAGCTCCTCTACAATCACTGCCAACTGCAGTGGGGTTAGGAAACAGTGGGGGGGGAGGCGGGAACGGAAGAGAAGGATTAGGCAGAAGATGATCTGCCAAACGCGGAGTAAGGGTACGGGTATCTACATCTGCAGGAAGAGAAGAGGGAGGCAGTGATGGAGGGGGAGGAGGTGGTGGAGGAGGTGGAAATGGTGGAGTGTATGGTGGAGGTAGAGGCAGGCATGTCTCCGACTCCGTTGCATCACCCGGAAGTGGCAGTGGACCTTGGTCCACACCTGGAGGCAGAAATCTCGTAGTAGAACAAGACATCTGTGGGGTTACGTACCCCTTACGACTTCTTGGCGGTGGTGTCATTCCTGGCGGATAGCAAGGACTTCTTGTGACAGTGGAATTCGTGGCAGAGACTACCCCTTCGCCCGCATCATCAAACCGTTCATCCTGGAGATGCCCACGTTCAGGCACATCATCTGCAGACCTCTGCGGTGCCAGCAGAGATGGCTGTTCCCCCTGCCTCTCCCATCCCGCATCCTTGGATGGGGACACGTATGCCATAATCTCTCCAGAGTTTTTAGCAAAACCCCTTCTCAAATTTGACGAGGCAAAGCCTGGCTTCTCCCACCCTCCTCCTCGCAGATTTGTCGAAGTACCAATTTGTAAATCAGTCTTCTCAGGTGTGCCACATGGAATTGGACGCACAACTTCCCCAACAAGCCCTGGCTGTCCACTTGAATCACCCGCTGCTGTCCGCCCATCATCCGGCAAACTGGACCCAGTAGCAAGAATTGCAGGTCCTTCGACCGTCGAATCTGCCAATGGACCACCCCTGTCTGTACCCAGAGGCCCTTGCTTTCCATCCTCCACGCCCTCACTGACATTCCATCCTCCATCTTGCATGCTTCCTTGGCAGTCCCCAATCCGCCCCACATCTGGCACACCTTCAGCTCGAGGTGGCTCCTCACGAGAACCCCTCTCCCTCAAAGACAAACCTCCTTGTCCATCCCTATCATAGGCTTTAGTTTCGCACCCTTTGTTATCCCGCACCTTCTCCTTGCCCCAGTCTCGTTCCCTCTCCCTACCCCTCCCCACCCTTTCCCTGCTTCTTTCTTTACCTTTGCCCCGCTCCCTATCCCTGTCCCTGTCCCAATCTCGATCTCTATCTCTACTCCTCTCCCTGTCCCTCTCCCGTTCCCTGCCTCTGCTGTCCCTACCATATCTATCCTCCCTCCCGCCTCTTCGCATGTACCGCTCCCTGTCTCTTTCCATCCTCGCCCCATGCCATGCTTCATGCCAATCCCCATGCCGATATCCATGCCTCTCATCTCGGTATTTCTCATCTTCCCTTCCAACACTTCCTCTGCCATACCCCTCCTCCCTACTTGCTCCAGCAGCACGACCTCCGACCCACTCACAAGCAGACCCATGCCGTCCGCCAGACCGTGCCCCATTTTCTTCTCGATCCTTGTTTTCATGATCCACCTCCCTCACTGACACACCAGTCTGTTCCCCACTCCGTGAAGTAAATGTGCCAGGCTGCTTGGTTACCCCAGATCGCTCGCTCTTCTCGTCACCGGCTGCCCCGTCCCGTGAAGAAACAGACACAGGCCTTGTGACCCCTTCTGTCGAGCCTGCCATTTCAATATGGTGTGACGCATTCCTTGTTGCCCTCCCAGATCCCGTGCCCCCTTGCAACTCCTCTTCCCTCTCACTCTTGGGCCTTTCCACGTCCATTCCATGAAAGACCGCATGTTGCCCCTCCGGCTCCACTGCCACAGAAGACATAGATGACCCTTTAACGACTGCATTTTCTTTCCGAGATCGTGATGGCGAAGATGAGATAGTTGACTCCAGTGGAGACACATCTTTCACAGGGCTTTGAGGCACTTCACACAATGTGTCAGAAGATGCTGATTCCATTGAAACAGACCTTGCCAAAGATGGCATCCTGACCTCCCCATTAGCACCGCCACTTTTCCCAACTTCTCCACGGTCTTTTCCACCATCGACCATTTGGCCGTTGCCTCCTCCCTTTCCCTGAAGAAACTTCACATCAGAATCACCCAGCTGTCCACCCTGCCTATGTTTCGCCTGCTTTTCATCAAGCTTTCTGTTTTCCATTTCTTCCACATCTCCCTCTCCCAACTCCCTACTTTCGGCCACATGCTCAGCAGTAGAAATGTCTCCTGCATTCAGAACCCTAGATTTTCTAGATCCGTCAGCTGTGCCCGCCGCAGGCCTACCAAGAAATTTGTTCGGCAATACTTTGTTCTCCTTTTCGTTCGGCAAGTCTGGAAGAAGCTTCTTCTTCATCTTGGGACCACCCAAGTTCCCAATCCGCCTTTTCCATGGTTCTGAGTTACTGTCCTTCACTCTGCCCACCTGTTCATCCTTCTCCTTACTGCATCTGGCAGGATCTTTCCATGGCTTCTGTACCTCCATGTCATCGTCAAGCTCGTTCTCATGTGTCCGTCCTGATGACGACGACATTCCGTCTTCCAGTCCGTCATCTCCAAACACGCCCATCATAATCTTATCCCGTAGACTATCTGCATTTCTATTGCCAATGCCAAGCGCTTTGGCATCTCCCATCAGCTGCTCCGACCTGTGCTCAACTCGCTTTTGCCTTCCATTCACTACCCGCATGGAAGACTCAATTCCATTTGTTTCCATACCACATCTTCCCAGGGACTCGCCGGAATTGGCACACTTCCGATCCCTGGGATTCACTGCAGACCTTCCATCAAGACTGTCCCCATCGTCCTCCTCGTCCTTCTGCACCAGTTTCGCTTCCTCGTTGCCACAACGACCATCGTACGCATCCCCAAGGCCATTATCACCCTGACGACCACCGTTGCCAACGGAGCCCGTGACACATACTCCGTTCACACCAATTGTTCGCTTCCGAAAGCCATTCCCGACCACTCTACTTCCATGGTACTCGTTCTCATCGTCTTCTGATAATGTGCCACCTTCAAAGGAGCTCTTTCCTTCTGCCATTGACTGCATTGCCGACACTTTTCCTTGCCCAAGAACTGGCTGTCCATCTCGACAACCAGAACCCTTAACAACACCACTCTTTCTATCACCACAGCTATTCCCTGGCGCTCCACTGCTTCCCTCCTCCGCTGTCCTCTTGTCTGAAGTAGAGAACAATTTAAATGGTAGGGATGAAATTGACTGTGACCGAGATGGCGACGTCACCCTTCCCTCGCTGGCTTCCGTCTTGTCCCGTCTGTCAACAAGTGGTTGCGAGTCCAGTTCCTCTGAGCGGCACCGATTTTCACCTTCCTCCTCCAGCACCCCACCATCAACACCTCTCTTATCTCGTTTGGCGCTCGGTGCTCCTGTTCCATCGCCATCTGGCTTACCACACGCAGAAAAATAGTCAGCAGCAATATCAATCCTCAAAATACAGCAGACAAAACAGAAGCTGATCAGCAGCAAAAATACAGAGGAAGTACCTCATTGACCTCCCTCCCCCCGCCCCCCCCCGCCCCCCGCTCACACACACACACAAACTTGAAATGCCTTCCGTACCCTGATGACCTTCAACAAACTGATCCTGAGCGGGCAATAGATTCCAGATGCATGCAGATTGCTTTTAGGCTTAGACCAGCTGTCCCCCCGCCGCAATCCAAAGGCTGAAAGCATTGTAGGGGTAGGGGTGGGGGTTCCGGGGGTAGGCTGGGCTCCGTGCAACAATGTGCAAAATTGGAGTGTGCAGACTTTGACAAGTATTTTTTTCCCTCTCAAAATTGTGGAAGAAGATTTTGAAACAAATCATGGCGACTGACCTTTTCGTAAAACATATTGGGAACAACTTTTAAAAAGATGGCATTCAAAAAATTAGGTGGTTATATACTGTTTATACCTTTCTGGGCCGTGGGTAAGGCCAAGTGTAGTATCTGTTCTGATCAGTTTAATATCTTGTTTCTTCTTTTTTCTTTAACCACCACTTTGGGAGAACGGGAAAATATCTTACTCCTAAAAGTTTGGGGGCTGGGCCCGACGACGGCCCGCCGTTGATAAATCTCAGTGGCGGCCGTCATTTCGTTCCAGCCTCCTGAAGATCGGAGGCCCACCCGAGGCCGACATGGGAAAAGGTAGTGGTGCTTTACAGCTAGTCTCTATTCTTCTCTCAATTTCACCTCTCACTACGTACCGACTACTACTCCTAACCCTAAACAGGGGACACCTGCAAACTTAGCTACCTCTCACAATCAACGGGGGGGGGG